CTGATTTCCTGGATTCATTTGAGTTCTTTATTCAGATTTCTTTCCTAGCATATGATGTTTCTGGCAATAAGAAATGCAGACACATGATTCACAGTCTTTGACAAGGTAGAAAAGGCCATTCTGCTGTTAAAAATTTTATACCATTGCTGAGCTTTTGTGGTCCTGCTCACTTTAAGCTGTCATGTTTGGCATGATTAGACACATCTTCTCCCATCAGTTTCCTTCTTCTAGAAGCCTTTTTACGGAAGGTGAAAGCAGTGACTTACTGTGTTGGCTCCTCTCGTGTCATTTCCAATGACAGACGTTAATATTTTAACTGAATCGTCTGGATGACATGTTTATCAAATTTGAAGGTCTGTCATCAGATTTGTTGGGATACTTCAGTGAAATCACACACTGTGAACCAAACAAACAAAAAGATGCATTCTCACCAGCTGTTGAGATCCCAGGTTTTAATATGAATATTCTTTTGTAAATTGATTTTTTTTTAAATTACATTGTAAAATGTTATTGTTGAGCTTTTAAAACATAATGTTTTCAAATATGTTGTTTCATGCAAGTATCTTACACCAGGGATGTTTTAACATCATATAAAGCTCTGGGAATAAACAGCAATTAGGGTTGGGAGAGATGTTAAAATCGACAGTCTACAAATATACATTCAAGGAGGTGTGAAACATTAACCTGTGTGTCTCTTACCTTTTATTGTTAACATAATGATTAAAATCCAGCTAACACAGAACCTTTCAGAATCAGCTTTATTGACAAGTATGTGTGAACTGGGCTCCGGCTATTTCTTTGCTTTCAGTGTACAGAACAGAGTAGACGGCAGACAATACTGAGAACATGACACCAACACGTGTAGCATGTTCATGTTGCGTTTACAGAGTTGATGGCACTGTTGATTATAAAGGGTTTAATAATTCCCATATTGACACATGTGGGCACACATGCCTATTCGCTTTAATGTACAGTTAGGTCAGTAAATATTTGGACACAGACAATATTTTTTCTAATTTTGATTCCATACATTACCACAATGAATTTTAAAGGAAATAACTTCAATGCGGTTGAAGTGCAGGCTTTGAGTAGGTTGAAAAAGATTGCATAAAAATGTGATGAACTAAAGCATTTTTACCACAATACCTTTAATTCAGGGGCTCAAATGTCATTGGAAAAATTCAGTAACTAAAAATAAAATCTTCATTTCTAATATTTGGTTGAAACCTTTTGCTGGCAATGGGTCTAGTCTTCAACAAGCGAAATGCATGCTATATTATGTATCTGTATTATGAAACACTGCCCAATAAATTTGACTGCATTTAGCTGGATTTGAGCTGACAGTACATCTCTGACCACCTCAGATTTCATTTGACTCCTTCTGTCCTGTGTCACATCATCAAGTACTAGCGTCCCAGTGCCACTGGCAGCCATGCACGCCCAAGCCATCACACGGCTTCCACTGTGTTTTATAGTTGATTTGGTACGCTTTGGATCAGGAGCTGTTCTGCGCCTTTTCCATAGGTTGATCTTGGTTTTATCTTTCCAAAGAATGTTTTCTCCAGAGCTGTGCTGGCTTTTTGATTTTCTTTTCTTTTTTTCTTTGTTTTTTCTTTTTTTTGAATAGAAAGTCCAATCTAACCTTTCTATTCTTGAGGCTTATCAGTGGCTTGCACTCATTTAAAACAAACCTTCATTATCAATAACAGAAAATGGCACAAAAAATAAATGCTGACAGAGAGCTGACAGATCTGTTTGTACTGATACATGTTGGATATAAATAGAGGGGGGAGTGAGTGTTGTTAAGAGTGTTAAAATAGAAGATCATATAATGAAGTGACCCTGATGTTCTGTTTAGTAGCTCCATGACAAAATACATGATTTCAGTCCAACCGTATATTCCTGTGCTGCTCTCAAGCCTCACTGCACAACCTGTGTAACTCCGGCTACGTCCACACGTACACGGGTATTTTTTGAAAGCGGAGATTTTCTGTTTTCGTTTGTAAAAAAAAAATCCCGTCCACATGTAAAAGCCAAAAACGAAGGAAAACGCTGCCGGGAACATGCCAAAGCAGCAGGTAGCGATATATTCCTGACCGTGTAGAAATGTTGGCCAATCAGAAGTCTAGAAGCCTGGGTGGGAAAGAGTAAACAAAGATGGCGCATAGAAGCAGCACTGAGTCCTATGTGTGGAGGACTCAGTGCTGTGTGTGTATATGTAAGCATTTAAACACTGCAGAGAGGAAAAATGAACAGTAACGTTATTTTGTCTAAGTCCGCCATGGTAGAAATTCATTTCACCGAAACAATAACCTAGCGCACAGTGTGACGTCAAACTGTAGAAACAGTCATTGGTCCACACGTAAACGCAAAAACTGAGTTTTCGAAAATATCCACCCTGGCAGGAGTTTTTAAAAAATCTCCATTTTCAGTGACCGAAAACGCTGTTTACATGTGGACAAAAGGTGCAAACGCATAGAAAAATCTGCGTTTTCAAAAATACCCGGGTACGTGCGGACGTAGCCTCCCACTTCCCCCTCTGTGCTCACCTCAGGCTTTTTTGTTTTTGTTTTGTTTTTGTTTGTTTTTTTTAAATCAGGGTTGTTTTGTCCCTGCTTTTCATTGGGCTTAGTGCTTCTAAACTGCAGCTGTAAATGGCTAACAAGTAAAGGCTGACTCATGCTGTAGACCATAGGTGTCAAACTCTGGCCCCCGGGCCAAATTTGGCCCGCAGCCTAATTACATGTGGCCCGCGAAGCCATACCAAATTATTATTAGAGCTGGCCTACTGGTATTATACAGCTAATATATATATTGCTTAGTATTAAGCTTTGCTTGTTCCATATTCAGTTTTTTAGCAAAACTTGTTTGAGTCCATAAGAAAAGATTCATTCTTATATCTGGAGGAAGATTTTTTTTCCAATAAATATTAATGTTAGCCCAGTTTTGAATTTTGGCCCACTGTGTATTTGAGTTTTACACAATCCTGCTTTAGACGGATGCCAGCCTTCGGCTGGATGAGAGCTTCCCAGTCGCCACCTTTCATCAGGTTTAACACAAACCTGTAGCTCATCTTGCCTTTCAGTGGGTTTTGTTGAAGTGCTGATTGTGTGCCGGTAATAATGAAAACCTTTTTAGTTGGGCTTAGTCTGAAAACTTTGGGTGCAGAGAGAAAATATGTGCAAGTTGAAAATAGGTTTATGTAGGCAGTATTCAACACTTTCCCCTTCCAGCACTAATCCACACATGGGATCTGAGGCAGGAAGCAACTCTGGTACTTTAAGACACATTCAAACAGCTTGCAAAATAAAAATTAACTCAACATCGAGTGTACGGCTGCTACATTCTCTCGCTCTCTCTCCTTTTTTTTTTGCTTATACTCAAGTGAAAGCCTCAACAATGATAGGGCTTCACTATTTCAGGAGCAAATCAGACCTGTTATATCTGAGAGGTCAAAATCCACCCTGCTGCGAACAGCCCATAGATCAAGAGATACTATAGAGATTGTGGGGTTTACCTTCAAAAGATGCTCAGATTTTCAGACATGAACCACAGTATTGTACAGCTAGATGTAACACTGTATGCCTCTGTAGATAAGAAAAGCATTCTTTAGGGAAATGTGCCTGTGGGGGAAGGCATGCCAAGAAGGCTCACTGTTCCCTGTATAGCTCTATTGAAAAGACTTCCCAGCAGAAGCATTATCTGACAGGTTATGGCAGCTCTTTGCACTGAAGGAAATGCAAGAAGCCAAGAGAGGCTCTTGAATGAATTAAGTGGATTAGATGAAGCTAGACTGACATCAGGGCCAGGTTTGCGCTAATGTGAGTACCGGTGCTGACCAGTGTTCAGGCCTGAGCATCACAACCAGTCTTTGAATGTTCTTGTTCACATGTGCTCCTGACTCCAGGTTAGAGTTACCTCATCAGGTTACAGAAGAGAGTGCTGTAAACTGTGAGTACTGTAATCAGTAAGGCTCAATCATAAATATTTGATGTATTTATTTGAACCATGCTGTGGCTGATCTTAACATGTTATAGCCACACAATGTTCCTGCACTCCTCCGCTTCTTTCTCCTATTCATTTACTGTAAACAGAGGTCATTCAGCCTGCACTTTAAAAAATGTGTAGGCAGAGTTCTCTCATCTTTGGTACGTTTTCATTTCTAATGTGAAAATATCAGCGCAAGGTCATGTTGTAAATTGCAAGAAGCTCTCAGCATTTGAATGTACGGGACCAAAAAGGCGTTCCAGGTGAATAACATTTCTGCATCACAGTCGCTGTGTCATCAACCATGTTGTCAGTCACAGTCTTCCAATTTCCCAAACACGAGGAATGCTGTGGTTTGAAGGAAGCTGCAAGGCCAGCAGTACAAGCATTGCACAGAGTGAAATCAGTCAAGTGTGCACATGAAAGTCTTAATTAGGTTCTCCTTTGGAGGCACATTAATTGGGATGAGCAGCCAACTAATTCGAATTGGCAAACAATAACCATGGTAACAACTTTAGACCCAAATAATGTGCGAAATCACCTTAACCACTTCGTGTACTCGTGGTGGCTTTAGTTCAGTGTTTAATCCTCAAGACGTCTTTTCTCTCCTGTCGCTCTCACACGTTCCACTTCATATCTGCTGGCAGGTTACTGCCTTGTTGCTCAGCGCTAATGATTCAAAGATTTTTGTTTCACTTGGACAGCTTTTACTGTCTGATCTGTCTGAAAGTACCTTTCCACTTTGCATCTTTTCCTGCGTGACATGCAAATCAGCAATAACATTAAGAAGCCATTGATCTTAGTGTTTTGTTATACAGCACCACTGGGCTTCACCAAAGCCAGAAATTAATACTGTTCACAGTTATGTATCCAGTGTCACCAGAGAATAGAGCCAATAGGGGAGTGCTGTTTTGCCTGTTCTGTTTAGATATTGGGTATTAGTGATTACTTTGTGCCATTTCCTGTAGCAAGCTGCTTTATTTAATGATTTTTGTGCTGTCTTAATTTTCCAGAATGCTGAGGTGTCAGTGTTTGAGGTCAACATTCGGTTCATAGGAGGATTGCTGGCTGCCTACTACCTCTCTGGACAGGAAGTAAGTACTTATTTGCTTGTGTGTGTTGTATATGAGAGTGTAAGAATTTTTTAGTGTTATTTTTTTCTACATTGGACAGAAAATTGATGAAAAATAGATGTTAGTTCAAATCACCTGGGCTATAATCCTCAAAAATGATCTTCATGTCTCCTTGTTTCATCTCTCCTCTCCTCTCCTATTAAATCCAACAGGCAAATTTTGCTTCTTGGTTTAAGGAGCTGGTGAACATTAAATCCAACCATCCATATTTCTTTTTCTGTTCTTTCCCACCTCTGTCCATCCAATCCGCTCCAACTTTCATGCCCAGCCGAGCAGTGCTCCCTCTATAATAGGAGCAAATACATCAAACTCGCCCAGCACAACCTCCACGACTACTGTGCTCCCAAGAATTTATATGGGGGGGGTTACTGCCCGCCAACAGATCTCGAAAGAAATCAGTGCTTTTCTTAGCCTTTTCACTTCACCACAAATACAGCTCTGACACAGTTGCTAACTTTCAATATTGTCTCCTGTAAATCCTGATTTCCCTTCCTTTAGTCTTTGTTTCTCAAACCACAGCTGTCAGAAATGCCTACAAGTACACCCTGAAGATACAGAAATCAAGCGGTGTTTTTTGCGAGTAGACAGCCAGTGAAGTTCTCAAAATAAACCACGATGGGCTGAGTAGGCATTTTGCTTTGATTATAGGGCCACACCTTTAGATGAAGGCTGCTGTGGTTCATCTAAAGGTGAAGGTTGTTTTTGTAAAGACAAATCTATTGTCTTGTCCTGTCACTAATATTGTTCTCTTCATACCTTTCATGTACATCAAGAAGTAGTCTGAAAAAAAAAATTTTCCGGTCTTTTAAGTGACATTTGTGAAAAATATGATCAGTTTAGTAGCAGACACCCCATTCACATTAACTTGATGCTAGTGGTCAAGACTTTTGTGGCATTTTCTTGCCCTTTATGCTTTGCTCATTCTGGGAAACCATCAGCTTATTCTGCTGTCCTAATGTCTAAAGAGCACATTTTTGCAGTGAAGCCATCTGGTCAGAGAATGTGTGTGGGGTGAGCCAGTCATTTAACTGCTAAGGCGAAAGCTCAATCGGATGATAGCCAGTGGTTTTAAAATGCATTTAAATAACCGCAGTTATTCATTTGCTCTTGATAAAGGCTTTGTACCTGCTATAGATTGCATATAAATGATAGATCAGAGGCAGGGTTGCTAATTTGTCAGCTAGTTAAATGTGTTTTTAAACTGTATGGCTCTAATAAACATAATCATTAACTGTACCATGTAGCAGAGACATCAGAACTATTGTTTGTACCAGGCTGTTAGTGGACTTTTTAATGCTGCAAGGTTGGGCTTTTGTATTATGGGAGGCTGTGCACATGGACTCACTTTTAGAGCTGGACTCAAGTAGCGATTTAAAAAGTGATGGCAGTTCCACATTGGCCTCATTTCAGACATGGAGTCTTTGACTTGGTTGCTTGCATGTCGCCAAGCGTCCTTACATAAGTTCAATAGATGAAGATAATATCACAGAGGTAAGGCAGCAGGCCCACTTAAGTTTAAAGTGGGCTGTATGTCACATCCCTGCTATAAGGGGAAGCTGTGGCTGAATTAAAAAGAGGGTAAATATAGACGTGAGTGTCTCAAAGTTCAAGTTTTGTATTTCTTTTTTAGTGGAGAGAGTAGAAAGCATAAGCATAAACTAACCATTTATTTACAATTAGATTTTGGTTAACAGCTGAGGAGAAATCCAAAAAACTTATTTGAAAATTGGAATGAAAGACCGTTAAACACCCTAAAAGTAACACGTTTGTTTTGTTGGGTAATTAAAGCCATGAAGAGAACAGATTAGTCATTTGCAATGTTTCAGAAGCAGATTTTAAAAAACCCAAAAAACAATCTTGTTCTGCCCACTCACTGAAAAATGCTCAACAAACTTTACTCAGTCACACTGAGTGTCCAGAGGTTGTGGGTTGGATTTATGGAACCGATAAACATTGTGATAATTTACTGCGAATAACAACAGAAGCCCAAGTGGCTCACAAGCAAAACTTAATGCCACTCTTGTTCCCCACACTGCACTTCACCTCCTATTCCCTTGCTCAATTTCACTTCCCCCACCCAAATCAAACTCAGTCATTCATCAGAGCCCACTGGAGTGATAATAGAAGCAGTGGGAGGTGGAAAAAGAGGGAGATCGAGCATGGGAGGGCTTAGAGGAGAGACAGTGATGGAGGGAACAGAGGAGAGGGTGGAGAAACCTGTGCGATGGGACAGTGAAGATGAGTGGAGGGTGTTTGGAGGTGATTGTTACAGATAAAGAGATGTGAGTGGGGAGTGAGGATGATGAATGACTCTGGAGGGGAAAAAGCAAGTCAGATTCATTCTTCACTCTCACTGAACATGTCCTTGAGCAAGGCATTTAACCCTCCTACTGTTCAGGCAGCAGTAGAATAAATACAGATTGTTATAAAAAAAAAAAAAAGTGGTAACAGATGATTGAAAAAAACAACAGCTTAGGATTGGTGATGAACTGGGCGTTAAAGGTCTGTCCCATGTTGGATGTTAGTGAATCCTTGTAGCTGTATGTGTGTGGGACAGTCACAGATAGTGATGGATTGATTTAGAGTTAACGCAAGAAAACACATGGCCCCAAACAAATGCACAGAAACACTAATGCTCTGGTTTTGTATACATTTTGCTCGTGTTCTAATCTGAGCCCACATGTATAGATAAATAAGCATTAATTAAAGCCCAGAAGTACTCATCTTCTAGAGGTGGGAATCACCATACATCCCACGATACGATATTATCACAATACTTAACGCATGATACGATATTATTGCAGTGTTTAAAAATATTTTGCGTTATTCAGATTCTGTACATAAAGGTAAACTTTATCAATATTCATTTTATCTAATATCAAAGTCTCACACTCAGTCTTTTTCTCGTTTCAGTCAGTTTTATTGTTGACAAACTGAACGGTTTGTATTACAGTCTAGTCCAACTTAACTGAATGCAACCACCTGGTACGATTATAGCTATTCTGAACTATGCAATTTATGAAAACTATGCAGCCCATTCAGCAACTGAAGAATTTGAAAGTAAATGAAAACAAAATATAATTTTACATTAAATAAAAAAGTTTTAAACTTAACTAAAATAAAACGTGTCTTAAATTAAAACAGGTAAACTGTCATGTTTATTGCTGCCCAAAAAAAAGTTAAACACATTTGGACAGTGAAGGAATGTCAGGATTCTTGCTCAGAAAAAGGATCAACAGGCTCTGAAGTCAGAGCATGTTCCATTCCACGAAAAATTGTTTGTAACAAAATATCGATTTCTGCTGTCCCTGTATCGATACATTATTTATCGATACTATACAGAAATGGGAACTTGCATAGTTCCCATTTCTGTATAGCTGTATATCCCAGATTCTGTAAAGTTATTTATTTCATATTCTGTATAGTTTTTCATATTTATATCCTGTTCATATCCTGTACATAGCTTGTACTCACTACAGCCTGTACATACTTATAGTTATAGAATATTCACAACATACTTCATACCGTGTACATTATAACATACCATAATAGACCCATTTCTGTAATATACTCACATATCTATATTATTGCTAATATATATTGTAATATATCTATATCACTAAAGCACTTCTGGATGGATGCAAACTGCATTTCGTTGCCCTGTACCTGTGCATGTGCAATGACAATAAAGTTGAATTCTATTCTATTCTATTCTATTCTATTCTATTCTATTCTATTATTAGCAAACAAAATATCACGATACTACATAGTATCAATTTTTTCCCCCACCCCTATCATCTTCCAAATCAGCGTTTACAGAGCTCACTGCCTCTATAATGGCTCTTTAACTATACAAAACTGAGCTATTTTCACTTTAAATAAAAACTTTTTTGTTTTAATTTCAACTTCCGTGAATACGCAAACATGGACACTAGTACCTCAGTTATTATTTTTCCCCTTTTTGATTATATTAAGAATTTTTTTCACATACTGTATATTCCTGCACAGAATACAGCTTCACAACATATATATATTTACTGTTATAGAGAGTTAATTCTATTTTTTTTATCTGTCTGTACACACTTTCATCTCGCTCTTTGCAAATTTCAGACTTTAATATTACCACAGCTTCTAACGCAGAATTTGAATACTCAAACTCTGTTTTCATATACGATACAATTCTTACTGGACGTTAAACCAGTGCTTGTTGTTCAGTTCCTCATACTGTTTATAAATGATGGCTATAGCCACTGGGACATCATCTGGTTTGCGTCTTGTTTTTGAAGCTTTGAGCGTCTGCTGTTGCCATCTTAGCTTTTTGGAAACCTTGGTTTGGGGTGGCAGTGAGGATTATTATCACTTTGGACACCAGTGGGGACTGTAATTTACAAAAAAACCCATTGAGTATGGCTGTAATAGCGATTAAGATCATGAGCGCTTTGGCTTTTTTCAGGACATAGATCAGGGCATCTAAGGAGTCATTTTTTCCTGTTGACTTCTATACATTCAGACATTTGAAACCACAGCAGTCCCCCCGGCCATTAAAAAACAGATTTAAAGCATGCTCACTTTGGCTTTATTTTCAGACCAGTAAGTTATGAAGACTCGCAGCTTCAGGTTGAGTCTGCCTTGCATCACAGAACGGCAAGACTGGGCCATACAGGAAATGAGAGGGTAATGATATTAGAAACGCATGCTGCTGCTTGGGACAGCTGGCAAGAATGTAAGACATTGCTGAGCTGAATTTGGCTTTGTCGCGTTGCAGAAGCTTCCTGTCACGTTGAGAGCTTTGAAGTTTCCTCAGAAGCCACCATGCTTGCTCTTTTTTCTTTGGGTAACCTCAATGTGCAAATTTCTGATCTCTAAATTTCCAAGAAGCTCAAGTAGGGAAAGCCAAAACAATACAAGCAATTTACAAAACAAACCCACCGATGTAATATGTGTGGAAGAGGACCAAGGGC